TAACTCTATTCATTAAGTATTATTTTAAAGTAAGTTTATTTTTGTTACATTCTTTGAATTTATTTACTCTTTTGACCTTTTTCTCTTTGTTCTTTTGCACGCAAGTCATTATTTTCAAGATTTATCCTTATTGGCCTGTATTATTTTTAAGTTTTTAAAAATTGTACCAAATTTTCAACTGAGCTGCTTTCATACTATATAAGCACGACCTGACTATCGGAAATATCCGGAAACGCAGTACGGCTTTTGTCTTTGCTATTTTGTTATCATAGCTTATTAAATGCAAGGACCCGCTGAAGGATTGGTTGGGGGGGGGGGGGTTGGAAGGGGAGGGGGCTAGTAATATTTGATAGTAAGTTCAGTTCAACGTGTGCTCTTTACTTTGTCTTGAGGGATTTAGAGGCAGTGAACGTCGACAAGCTAAGCAGCCTGATGTGGCATCGCGGTGTGAAGAGGGCTTGACGACTGATGACTGTCAGTAACATTGACGATGATGATGACGAGGACGACGATGATAATGGCAATGATGATGATGGTGGTGCTGAGTTATGCTGACAATGATAAAGATTTTCATGATGCTGATACTCTGATAAAGACTGATGCACACTTTGATGAAGATGAAGATGATGACAAAGATTGCTTAAAATGCTGACGATGATGTTGATGACGCTATTAATGACGATGATGATGACGATGATGATGACGATGATGATGATGATGATGATGATGATGATGATGATGATGATGATGATGATGCTTATGTTCTTGTACTCAGATCAAGAAACCCCGCAGCTCAGTAAATGGCCATGGCGTCTTCACCAGGTGAGCACCAAACACTCACCTTTTTCCTTCTTCAAAAGCTGATGATTTTAGAAAGAGAAATTAAGGATGCAATAATTAGCAAATTTTCATTTGATTTCCAAATAGTCATTAAACATTAATTTCCTTTGTATTTTCTTTATGAATTATTAATGATATTTGAGAACTGTGCAGGAAGAACAGAAAACGCAATCTGGTGTAAGATACCATGGGTTTCAAACTCCAAAATTAAAATGGATTATTTAATTTTTGCTTAATTTAATTGCATGCCAAACAAAATAGAAGTGGGAATAGACATTGAAGACACGCACCTTCCCCTATGATAAATTTAAGGCTATAAAAATACACCCGGAAAATACTTTGCAGCTACAGTAAAATAAACCTGGGAGATTCTTGTTCAAAAATTAAAAAAAGGTGATTCCAAACTGTTTTGTCTCAACAGCACCCATGAGGAAAAGATTGCAATTCAAGAGTCCATATATCATATTGGAGAAAGATTTTGGATGTACTTCCTACGTGGAGGAGAAACCAAGCAAAGATGAACTTTAAACTACCATAGACCGCCCGTTTATAATATTTAAGTAAGGCCCATGTTTAAACAGACTTCTTTTCGCAATGCTGTCTCCTACAGTTTCGCCAGCAAACACTGATCGTTATAGAAAACGGATTCAGCCAATTTTATAAGGTTTAAAACTTGACAGTTTGTTCTTCTACTACGCCTTTATCCCATATATTTTACTTTGTAAACCGGCGATAGACAACAGCAGCGAGTTTGAATTTGGGCCTATATGTTCTGAGGAAGGAGTAGTAACATTATTTTTGGTCGATGAATCATAACGGTTTAACGCGATTTCGGTACCAACTGAACTCGTTCAAAGCAATGATGAAAATAAAGAAATTGTGGTTGTTACCTCGGAGTTTGTTGAGCAAACCCTATGGTGTCACCATGGAAATAAGGCTTTTTTTCAGCACTACTTCCTTGTAGCAACAATCATTGTTTAGGATTTTACGAAATAGAAAGCAAGATAGTATTCAAAACTTAGGTTTGGTATTCTTAAAAGGATGTTAGAGCAAAAGGGATAATAAAATCCGTATTTTATTTGTTCTAATCAGTACTAGTTTCGTGCTAGATGAACAATGAATAAGGTCAATAATGTAACAAATGTGAGAGCCATGAGGTAAAGTGAGAAGGCTATTTTACAATTGGCAAGATGATTAGAGAGATGTAGAATTTATCAATTCGACTTCGAACGTAACAGCGCAACTTGGAACTTCTGAATTCTCCTTAATTAATGCCACTGACTTCGCTGATTTCATAGCTTAACATGTAACATAACCAGCAATAACCTTATAATGCATGAAGATTTTTAGAGGTTCCAAGGAAGTGTTTTGCCTGAACTGAATTTGTCTGAAGAAACAAAATTTAAAACGTTATTGTTGCTATCTGCCGAGTGAAGGCACGGAATCATAGCTTTCAAACCTTTACGTTGGTTCAGTAAACATAATTTAGTTTAGTTCTGCAGGCACAAAAACAGAGATTCAGGCGGCAGTCGTGAGATGATCAAGTCGCGCTGTTCTGGTCTCAGCCTTGCCGACTCAACAGCTCAGCGGGCAAACGGATTTTTCTTTTCTTTTATCCTAGCAAAACTAAGAGGTTACTTCTATTAACTTATTTATTTTATTTACTATACTTCACTTATTTATTTAAGCTAGTAGACCTTAAAACCCCGAAGGCATCGCCATAGCACTGGTCGGGGGTACACGGTCCCCTTTTTTTCCAAAATTGTTTTTTCGGGGTTTACGTGTCCGGCTGTGGTGTTCTCGTATTTTTATTTTTGTATTTCTTACCAATAAAGTGTACTTTCTTGGGCTTCATAGATCGCGTGTTGGTTTCTTTGGTTGTTCATATGTAGGGAACGCAAAATAGTTTGTCAACTAGAACATGATCACGCTCTTATCGTAGGGTAACTCAGTTGATTTAATAAACTCCTGTAATTCTTTTTGTTTTACGAAAGGTTGATAATCTAAATGTTTCAGCGACCTTTTTGACGCACAGAATACATGTTAGGTCTCAGGAGCGAATGCTGTGGCTCAGTTTGCCCTTGATCTAAATCTCTCCGAATTCACAATACAAATGATGAGGGGCACCCAACGAATATTTTCTGTAAAATATCTGTTCGGAAAAGCACGATTGCCAAGAATTTTCTATTGCTTGAATATGGCTAAAAATTTCTAGATGAGCGTTCCATTCAGGTAAAATTTTCGAAGCTTATCTAAACAATTCCCTAAGATTTTCTGAAGTTTAATTTTTCATATTTTACTCCTTATGTTAGGGTGATTTTCGTAGGAAACCTAAAATTTTCGGATTCAAAAATGTGATGGAGAGAGGAATAAGAAAAATTCTCAGTTTCGTAAAACGTTGTTCAACTGCATGTAAAATTTTCGGAAAAATATCACTAAAGCCGTTGTAAATTGAAGGGCCTCAAGTTCCCCAAGGATGACCGGCCAGATACAAATTTTATAGCGCGCCGCTTAGAATGCATTTCTAGAGATCTAGAAGTACTGTGGATAACCTAAAAAGACTTTTCAATGCATTTAGGAGGAAACCGTCGTTGGGTGCCCCTGACTAATCTGTTTATTTCTTCTTATTGTCATTATATTATTATTCCAGAAAAACACACAAGCTGCAAAGCTTTTAAATTAAAGACAAGGAGATTATGCCTTTGTTCGAGTGCGAGAAAATTAGCTAAAACAAACTTTCTCTTATAAATTTATGATAATCTTTGGGAAACGCATTACTAAATTTGATTAACTTCAACTGTCTCTTCGAAATAGCCCAGCGCAAATCCAATAACGCTGAAGAATCTTTCGGTTTTCGCGTCTGCACTCACTTTGGCCGGCGGAAATCCAAGAACGCGTTCTTGAACCTCTGTCTTGCTCCCCTTTCTTCGTATGCTCGATCTTGTCGTACTCGAGAATTCTGCGTGTATCGATCGAGTAGTCTTAGTGAAGAGGAAGATTCCAATGAAAATGTTCGGGGGTTTGGGGGGGGAGCTTCTTTTTCGAGTAAATATTTCTTTTAGATATTTACAACCTCATACTGGCGAGGGCCTTTCTTCTTGTCTTCTCCTGGATCGAGAATCCTTGGGAATGAGGTGGTTTATTTTTTAAGTTTAAAATGAGGCAAGCAGTGTCTCCGTGAAATAACACGTTTGTTTAATGGACCACTGTACACAAAGTGCTATAATTAGAGATAGGGTTAGTTAAAACACCCTATAGCTCAGTGTTAAAATACTCCCATGCGATTATACATCATTTTGGATCGAGTTTTGGTCCACTTAGGTTTACGTATGGACACACGCGACAGTGACCAAAAACGGAACCTGTTGGAACAGCGCAAGAAAAGACTGCCGGATTTTACGCTGGCGATTACGTTTCAAGCGAGAAAGGACTATATTTGTCAGGAAGGTGTCGTTGTACAATTTATGTTGAAGTTTAGTAGGTGAATACGTTTAGCTTTAAGAGCTTTTTTGTGCTACTGTCCCTGTTAAACTAGATAAAAGGCAAAAAGAGCTGCAGTTGAGAAGAGCAAAGCTCTTATCATGACCCAGTGTCCTTCTCTGCTAGCAACTGAACTTGGTGATGGACCACTGTCAGGGGAACTTGGTGATGGACCACTGTCAGGGGAACTTGATGATGGCGATGGACTGATTCCTGAAAAAAATTTATTTTAGCGTAACGGATAAATATAACTCGTAGTCTCGGCTAAGCCTAGGCACGGTTCATAAGTGATGTTATTTCACTGAAACTACCATCTTTTCTAATTTTCTTTTTTATTCCGAGAAATACATGCATTGAGCAGCTGAACTTTAAGCTTTTAGGTGAACGTTTACCTCATCAATGGCCGAGCAAAATTTACCCAGAAGTTGAAGAAATGACGAAATAGTACATTATGACGTCTTGTATTTCTGACAAAAACTCTTCATTTTTGAGTCTAAGTTCTCCTATAAAATCTGTTTATTTAAGGAAGGTATTAAAAAAAACAACTTGGAAGAGTGCCTCAGTACAAACAGCCAAACACCTAGTCGAAGGTCCAAAATGCTCTGTTACGCGCAGTTTATTTATTTATTTATTGTTTTTCAGTTAATCTCTATATTACCGTAGACGTGTTTCAAGAAGTTTCAGTTACACGTACCTGTTTGTAAGACTGGGATGATGTCTTTGTTACAGTCATCACCGGTGCAACACTCGACTGCGCATTCGAGCTGGGTCAAACTTTGCCTTCTGTCTCCCTTGAGAAAACCGCCCACAGCCGCACAAGCCGCTTTCTTATCTGTAATCATCGGTCAAAAACGAAAAAAAAGTAGACTTCTGTTGAATTTATTAAAAGGGAATAATAACAAAAAACTTTTTATATTCGTTTTAGCTGAGAACCTCCTGTCTCCTAACCTTAATTAATTAGCTACAGTCAACTCTTTCTAAGGCGGACACTTAGTGTCCGTCTTAGCTTGGATTTCCACTGTCGCGTAATTTTTCCGTACGTACGCACGTAAATTTTACGCGGGTGAATAAAATAGAGACAATGTATGGAAGGTCGCTCGTAAGCGCAAAAGGTTGAACCTCGCTCAACTTCTCGTTTAAGCTCAGCACATTTTATCTTGCTCTATATTATTTACGTCATGGATTAAAATTTACGTGCGTTAACGTGCGTAGGCGAAAACGCGTTAGTGGAAAATAAGCAACTTTTTGAGAGATGTCCGTCTTATAGAGAGTCAATTAAAGGGAGTAAAGAAAGGTAGGGACCAACTCTAGGTGTCCGTTTTACAGCGATGCCATAGGTGTATCTGTTAAGAGAGAAACACTCGTGAGAGAAAAACCACAACCCCAAACTAGTGAGGGTCAGCCTGATCTTTAGTAGACCTGGACAAGAGCCATAATAGGATAGAGAGGGCGCTGAATCGTGAAAGCGAGTCTTCCGGAAGTCAAACAGTTTACCGGAAACTGTTTCCGCGTGGTCCGCATAGTTCTAAAAATTCACTTTTTTGAAATTAAGATATCCCAGCCAACGCCCTTAGACTGCCTCTCTGTCCTATTATGGCTCTTGACATGGATCAGTAAAATCTTTGAGTACCAAATTTTAAACTTAAAACAGTAAACTGATCCTTACGGCAGGAAAAGTGATAGAAAAAATAAAGAAAGAAAACAAAAATAAAGTAATGAATTATATTTGCAAAACATAATGTTTTAAGTTTAAAATTTGTTAAGAGAGAGTCAACTGTAAATATAATTCCTGTCCAAAAAAACATGTTTTGTCTATTGCATTGCCAATATTGAAATATTCTCACATCATCTGTCGGGTAAAAAATGAGTGTAAAAAAGTCTGTTTCAGCGCCGTTGTAAAGCCATTCTCAATATGCGAACTTATTTTAATTAACGAGTTTCAAGTCTCGAATTAATCAGAATAATTAGCGTAACAACAATCATTCTGGGCAAAGGGTAAAATTATTTTTCCTACCAGCACAGTTAATGCATCCCCGAATAAAGTTATCCACGATATTTCCTTTGCTATCCTGATATTTACCCACTGCAGCACCACAGTGAGAAGTACCGAGTGAAAATGAATCAGTGGCGCAAATCTGGGTCCTCCGACTCTTTGAGCGCGAGCAGCTGGTCGCATTAGTTCCCAGACATAAAAAACACTGTTTCGGACCAGAAGCTAAACGAATGAAAAAACATAGAAAACAAAACGCGACCGTTAACTATTAATCACTAATGAAGAATAAGGGACGAGCGTTGGAAATTGGAGAGAGAGGGGGGGAAGAGAAAGGGAGAGAGAGTTAATATATTTTAAGGTAAAAGGTAAGATCACGCAAGGCGTCACCTTTTTTGATTACCTATAGATGGTTTTCACAGTGACATCATCAAATTGTAAAGTCAAAATAGCGAGGTTTTACGCATTCTTATTTACACTAGGTTGAAGTTTCTAGTCCCGTAGCATGTTTCATTTCGAAAATACAGCAATTTGAACTTCCGAGTTTTCACAGTGCGTGACACCAAAATTGGAAAGCTGTCTCATTGAAAAAAAGTCTGTTCTCTTGATTTTCAGCAGTATAACCATTTCAAGAATTAGAACATACGTTTATGTGCACGTATGCTAGTTCTCGAGTAAAAAGGAAGAGCTTTTATAGAAAAAGTGAACTCTAGATGTTTTTGTTGATTTCCGGCGGCCATATTGGTGCACCAAAACGGTACACCAATATGGCGTCTCCGTACTAAGCTCTACAAAGGAACGTGAAAACTGAAACTGTGGGCTACAAAGACCTGAGACTTGGACAAATTGTTTATATACTAGTCTTTTATAACATTTCATTTTCTTTTCTTCTACTGGAAGGTTGACAATTTATTTTTTGTTGCGTGACAGTGAAAACGATCTATATATGGTAACTCATTCACACTACAGCTATCTTCACACTATAAGGGGTAGCATTTCGTGCCGACGCGACTATTCGGTAAATCATGAACACCTATCTGATATGTGAGTCAGTCTCTACTTTCGAGATCGGCGCGGTGCAGCTTCGCTCAGTTAAGAGACATCGCTCCGAAATCATCGTTCTTAACAGAACAGAAGCCATAGCCGGTATGCTTTTCAAGCCGGCAAAAAAGCTCTGTGGTGTGTGGGCTAGCCTAAGTCTCTTACTAATAAATCCAGACTACCTTCTCCCTTTTCTCATGCGCCTTTTCTATCTCTCTTTCCTCTACCAAATTAGACAGATTACATTTCTTCAGTTTTTTAAGAACTACAATCCTCTTTGCTATGCACTACATAAGTAAACATAGCCTTGTGCCTGACTAGCCCTTGGTTGGCTCGCAGGTGAATAGTGTTCATTTCTTTTACTTTTTCATGTTTTCTGTCTTATTCGTCTCTTTTATTATCATGGTTATCATTATTATTGTTGTTATTCTCGCGAAGCGAGTGGCCGTAAGTCCGCGAGCGAAACGAGTTTATAAATTTGTAGCGCCTGCAGCGCGCGGCAACGCGCACAACAATCGCTAAGCGACGCGTGATCTTGCTTTGGTCAAAAATCTCTCTCTCTCTCTCTCTCTCTCTCTCTCTCTCTCTCTCTCTCTCTCTCTCTCTCTCTCTCTCTCTCTCTCTCTCTCTATCGGTTTGGGCGAACGCAGGTGCCTAGCAACAAGGCAGCGTGTAAACAAAACCGCCACAAAACTTGCCCGGTTGCTTTAGCCGCCATTGAGGAGGACAAGAAATGCCATTGGTGATAAATTTCGTACCTTTAACAGAAAATGGATGTGATTTGGACCATTAACTTCAAAATAACAGCGGAAATCGGGAAAAGAAAACATGTTTTGCGTCCTACTCCGTAGACAAAATTCGTTTTGGACTGTCAATATTTCGGTTATTTTTCTGAAATATATCTTTGAATTCGTGTTTAATACGGCTCGTTAAGCTTTAAACTGCCTTTGCTGGAGGAAGTTTCATGGAAAAGGGTTTACATCAAATACTTTTACTAGTGCTTATATCGTGATCCTCAGTAGAGCAGTGGTAAAGGAGAAATCGCGCCAATCTGGAGGCGCGAGGTTCGATTCCTGATCTTCTACCTCTCTCCTTCTTTATTTTATTTTTTTTTCGTTGTTGTTTTGTTTTTTTATATTTATAAATAAAGTTTCCTTTCCCTATCGGCTTTTTCCCTTTCTTCTTACTTCTGGCCTTTAGCCTTTGCTTCGCTCTGCGATTCACGTATTTCTAGTTAGTAGTGGCATGGTAGAAGTGAACAACAAACGCACTTGAAAAATACACTTCCAAAAAAAGGCCAAACTCACTTAAAATTAAACCGCTTAACCTGCGAAACTCTGTCCTCCATTAACGAGATGGAATGCCTTTGAATAAATTGAATAATGCGTTTAGTATTCACCTCTACCTCCTTTTTTCTCTAATACGATACTTGAAGAATAGAACAACCTTCGTCTAATTACCTGCTGTTGTAAATACTTTGACTGCATTGGCTGATGGCGATCCGGTCGGTATTTGTGTGTTGCAGTTCTTCCCAGTGCAGCAGTCGATCTCACATTCCAACAAAGTCAATGATCTTGCCATTTTCAAGTAACCACCAAGAGCAAAACAAGCCGCTTTTTTATCTGATAAAGAAATGTCACTTGGTTTTCTTAAGGTGGCGATAAGAATGTAGACACCTACCGACGTAAACTGGCTCTCTGAAGTGCAAGATTTTAATGCAGCGTGCGCTGCAGAACTTCTCTTTGAAAGCAACGATATCAACAATACCAGTGTCGTGTAGCTTAATTTGAGAAATTTTCCCTTCTTTCGTCCTTCTAAAAATGCTTAAGGAGATTCTGTCAGGATTGTTCTTAACTTTGGATGTGATCCTTGCAAGTTGCATGAGCAACCTAACGGATTGAAAGAGAACCTCGAAAACTGAAATTCTGGAAAGGTGGACAGCGCTATCAACTGGATAAATAACTATCCAGCGGATAACGCAATCAGTTTTTTTTTAACTTTGAACAACCGGGGCATCACTTTTAATAAGTCGTTTTTAACTTTTTAAGCCCGATTTATGGGCAAATTCTTGTAATGGCTTGTCCCTAACAAGAATCACGCATGGGCAAATCACACAGCTGGTAAAGCGTGGCTTAAAAACCCGGCTCTACACTCTCACCATTAGGGAAAACTACAAAATTGGCTCTTCAAAACGCCTTTAGGTGCTCGCTTTTGCAAATGTTACCCTAAAGTCGGGGTTGGAGAAAATAAGGTGAAAATACACCTGCGTTTAAGTTAACCAGCGAAAGTTCGAGAACAAAACTAATTGTAATAGTAACATTGTAAATACATGAAAAGTTCTATGACGTCAAACTGCTTAGTGACTTGATTCGACGACCTCGTTCCCAGGAGAGAGCCTTGGCCCTAAGCCTCAGTGTGGTGAAAACTGGTTGTTAACTTACCAGCGCAGTCAAAACATCCTCGATATGCCAAATCCTTAACATTTCCGGAGCCATCCCGATAACTACCTACTACAGAGCCACAATGAGTCGTCCCAAGCGAACCAAAACTTGGATTTAGGGAACAGGCTTGGGGAGGATCCTTGTTGGAGCAAGTATCCAAGCAATGAGTACATGTCGGTAGACCGGCAGCTGTGAGGAAAAAGTTCATATTACCTGACATATCAGCGAAAAGAGGCAAGTAATGAACCTTTCGACGAGCTCAGTTAGCTCAGTTTTTGGTGGTGAGGGATACTCTAGTGTCTTCAAGACCACCTTTTTAAATTTAATTAATTTAGTTGGGAGAGACCTTTGACTTGAAACTGTTAATAAGTGGACCGGAGTACAAGCTGAGTTAAAATGACATTGTCCTTCATTTAACTATATAAGGGTTCGTCGTTTTTGAGCATTTTCACAGCCTTAAAATGCATCTTTCAGTCCTTTTGGGCCTTTTTACAGACTGAAATGGCAGATTTCCCTTTCTTTTCTCCTTTTGGGGAGGGGGGATCCTCTTTGCATAGGCTAAAATAGGGTTCCCCCGGATCGAAACGCGTCATACATTACCTGCATCGTTACAGTTGTTACTTGTGCAACATTGGATATCACATGTCAGCAAGAGACCACTCCTGCGTGATTTAATGTAGCCACTTATAATTGCACAGGCTGCCTTTTTATCTGAAAACAATGAAGTCAGTAATAAATGTATCTTTTGCAAGCTACATCTTCATGATATGTACCCACTGAATGCAGTTTTAGTAACGTTATTAATTAAGCTTCTTTCTCCGACTTTTGTCAAACCGTTTGTGCCAGTTTTTCGATCGTAGCTGTTTGTTTATTTCTTTTTACCAAGATATGGTGACAATAGGTTTCTATGGTTTCGAAATGTGGTCATGGGGTCATAATAATTTAACCAAACTTTCTTGGATAGTTTTTTTGGCACCCACTAAAGTTGTCACAAAGAAATGAACAGAACCTGCCAAAATGATGTCAGAAACTGTATCGAGTAGTAAAGGTAGTTAGATCATAGGTGTTGATTTAGATTAAGATTTAACTTATTTGTCACGTCAAAGAAGTGTTTAGGAAAGTCTGTGTTAAAGCTGGGGCTCTTTACCGCCTTATTTTTCACTTTCCTTGGTACCCTTTGTTCTTTTTAGGGGAATATATTACATAACCAGATGATGTCTGTTGATAGAGTACAAGAAGTTCCTGTCGTCATGGTCTTTAACAAAGTGGAGAAGGGTTTCCTGTGTCTCCTGGAGGTATTTATCAAGACCGATAGTGGTTGACTTGTAGGAAAGCTCCAGCTGTAAGCCCCCTGTACCTCCTTCCATTCTGGGCAGGTAAAGCCTGTCCACGTCAGATTTGGGGTGGTGCATCTTGTACACGGTCAGGAACTTTCTAACCTTTGTATCAAGTTTGGCCATTTCTTGTAATGTCCAGTTTGTGACGTTAAAACTGTAAGTTACCACTGGTACTGCCCAGGTGTTGATGGCTTTCAGTTTGTTTGCGGAGTTCCATCCGGATCCTGCGGTAGTACTCTTTCCGGATCTTCTCTTTCATCTGAGAGTGCTGGACTCCGTCTCCCTCGCTTACTCCGAGGCACTTGTAGGTACCTTACTGTTCTAAGTCCTGTATGATGGTGTTGACGTCGAGCTTGATGTTACTAGAGTCGGCCTAGTTGCCCTTTCTTGAAGGTGGCCTTGGCGCACTTGTCCAATCCGAACTCCATGCCTATGTCGTCACTGAAAGATTTGATGGCTTTCAACAGGCCCGTTTGTTCGTCGTCACTTTTTGCGTAGGTCTTCAGGTCATCCATGTAGAAGAGGTGGCTGATCTTTCCATGGGGGGTGTTGTACCCATAGCCACTCTTGTTCAGGAGGGAGCTTATTATTATTATTGTTATTATTATTATTATTATTATTATTATTATTATTATTATTATTATTATTATTATTATTATTATTATTATTATTATGTCGCAGTATGAAACTTTGGAATGCTGTCCACATTATGAGTAGTATAGGGCGCATAGCGTAACCTACACCACTTGAGAAGCTATACTTAGAAGTAAAAAATGGTCGATACGAATACAATCCTAAAATACATAGTGATATAAGTCTCTCTACTTAAAAAGCCAATTTAGAATATTATTAAATTCTGATACTCTGTAAAACCTTCGCTATCTCTACTAAAAACATATTTATAATAATATCACACTCTAATGTTCTAAAAAATCTAAGTAAAAACGTCAGCAAGCTTGTGTTTCTAGATTTCTAGAGAAAAACCAAAAACCTAAAAACTGAAGTCCATAGCGCCCTAAGTATTTATTATTATTATTATTATTATTATTATTATTATTCTAGTTCCTGTGATATCGTATTTCCAGAATTATCCTGCTAAACGTACCTGCGCAATTAATACATCCTCTATAAACCGCGTCACGTATACCAAAAGTGGACGCATACTTTATCTTGGCGTAGCCACAGTGAGTTGTTCCGAGTGAACGCGAATCTCGGCTACAATCCTGTGGGCCTTGTCTCTCAATGCACTCTGCATCATTATCGTCGAAACACTCCTGGCATTGCGACGGTCCAGAGGCTGCCCATACCATAGCAAAAGGGGAGAAGTAAAGTCAGACCAGAGAGACTATTTTAATAGGCAGTTAAAACCCTTTAACTGCCAGAGTGAATAGAGGAGTTTTGTAAGGGGGCTCTAACGTTTGAGTCTGTGGACGAAATCCTATGATGTGACCATTCAAATGAAAGCTCTCTACCTGTACTTTCACATGGTACTATTTGTTTTTGAAAATTTTGCAAAATGAAATTTGGGAATTTTTGTTCAGTTTTGCCTTTAGCCACAATTGGCAGTGACAGGGTTAAAAACTAGTACCTAAGTCCAACGTCACGAAACAGGGACAAGGGACTAGCGCTACCATGCGTTTATGGCACTGTACCCTTGATTACACGATCGCAAGCGAACTAGCCTCCCATGCAGAAGTTTTTAGGGCTTCGTGACGCGCCCTCCTGCAGACGTTCGTGAGCAAGGAACGGGTGACGAAGCCCTACGAACGTCTGCGTGGGAGGCTACAAGCGAACATGTGACAATCGCTAATCCGTTTTTCAGCTGACGGCTGATAGAGACCAAGTGGTTTGGTCCAAACATGACAAACGTTCACGGTAAACTCGCATAGCTCTGGTTCTGTAAAATATACAATTTGAAAATATTTAATATAATACCTTCTGGTGTAAACACAGTTACCGCGTCTTGTGTCAAAGATGAGTTCTTCGTGTTACATCTACTGCTATTGCAACACTCGATTTCGCACTCAAGCAATGTGTCTCCTCGTTCAGTCTTCAGATAACCTCCAAGAGAATAGCAGGCTGCTTTTTTATCTGAATGGAAAGATTGTGATTATCGTAGCAGTTTCTATTTATGATTTATTTTTTCTGTGATAAAACTGTTAAAAGTAATACTTTTACTTACCCGTGCAGTCAAAACATCCTCGAATTATATCGATATTGGTGCCATCAAAAAAGCCCCCACGGTACTTCACTGCTGCCGAACCACAATGAGTTGTACCGAGGGAACTGCGACCCGTCAAACACGTTTGGTTCCTTTGCATTGAAGAGCTGCAGGGTCTGATTGGGCCACCCTGGAACTCCGTACACGCGATACACTGTCCTGGACCATTGTCTGAATAAACAATTAGGTAAGCATTGTATTAAACACGAGAAGAAGTGTTTTTTTTTTTCCGATTTCCACGCACCGAGAAGTAATATATCAAACACGAGAGGGAGTGTTTCATCCGATATCCAAACACCGAGAGGTGAAATATCAAACACGAAAAGGAGTGTTTCAGTCTGATATCCAAACAACGAGAGGTGATATATCAAACACCAGAAGCAGTGTTTCATCTGATATCTAAACACCGAGAAGTTATATCGAACACAAGAAGAAGTGTTTTTCCGATATCCAAACACCAGGAAACGAGTTTGAAAACGAGGGCAAGTACTTTCAACCAACTATTTGAGGTGTACTTTATATTGAATCGTGCATACCTAATACACGCCTCACTTAACCCGCTCTCGTATAAGCGCCGCACCTATAACGGGGATAATTAAATAAGCGCCGCGGTGCTTAATCGATCATTTACGGTATGGTTCGTAACAAAGAGTTACTCGAGAATGCATTACCTTTAACTTTCTTATACTTAAGTCATGCATGAAAGGGTATTTCAGCTAAGTAAGATAAAAAATTTTTCTAGCTTTCATTTATTACCTCCGTCATTGCAATTATCACCGGTGCAGCACTCGATTTCACATTCCAAAAAAGTGTACGATCTATAAAATGATCTCAGATAGCCACCAAGTGTAGCACAAGCTGCTCTTTTATCTGTAAACAGATCATTTAAAAATCAAGGTAATATAATACTCGAGACATTGACTTCTACCGGCTTTATTTGACCCCACCTAAAAGAGACCATGCTCGAAAACATTGTTTTGCGGAGGTTTTGTCCTTCTTGCAACCCTTAGCAAGTGAGAATGAATTCATCCTCTCTTGTGGATAAAATTATTAGCTTTACGTCGTTAATACCTTAAGTGAGACCAAAATTCGCAATTTTTCGATACCCTTAAGTGAGGGAATAAGAATCCCGTCACTTCAATATGGGAAAGTTTGGCTTAACTGAAGAGATGGTGAACTCAGGATTTTAAAGATTAGGAGCTAGGTTCGGTAGTGTTATTATTTAAGACATTCGATTTAGCGATTTTACGATGCCAGATTCAGGAAATGTTGTCGTAGAGAAGTGGTTTCCGATAAGAAAAGTGAAAAATCATTTCATTTGGACTTGACACAAGTTGCCCACATTTTTCTCGTCCCCATGACGAGTCTACTGTAGCCGCACCACTTTTTTTAGCCCACTGTCAATATGAGAGAAATTCAAGGCTTTGCAAGGCACTTAAAAATTAATACGAATGTGAGAGATCGGGATTAGCCGATAAAAGACGTCTAGAGTAACAGGAGTGAGGGAAGATTTTAGTCAAGATCACAGAACTGGAGAGACCTGTTCTCCCGACCCTCCAAAATGTAAAATTCTACTAACCCGCACAGTTAATACATCCTCGTAAAGTGCGATTATAGACACCACGATCGTCACGATATTTAACTGTCGCAGAGCCACAATGAGTTGTTCCGAGTGAACGAGAACTCGTCGCGCACATTTGGGGTCTCTGGCTATAACTGCAGGTGTACGGATCACTTTCCTCGCAACTCTGACATTGTGTTGGACCAGGGGCTGTCACAAAAAAAAAGATTGTTCGCAGATTACAATTGAGACCTTAAGATCGAGGTTTGGCCGTCTTACCGCAAGCGGCAATCTGCGGTTTGCGGTTAGCGGTTTCACGTTATCCGTCTACCCATATTTAGGAATTAAGATTCGCGGCCGGGTAGCTTGCGGCTGCCATGTTTGTTTTTATTCATTCATTTACTTCTATTTTAACTGAGAAATCGTCTTCAAAGTTACGTCTCTATAAAAAATAGTTCAATAATTAATTAGCGAAAGAGTTCTAAAAAGGAGTATTTTCTCTCAAACGTGGGATTGTGAAGTTTTAGAGTACAAAAAACCTTGCGGTAAATCACTTACCTGTAGAGCGTAATCTAGCCGTACAAACGTGAACCTCAAACCGCAAACATGACGGCAAGGCACTAGTCACGTGACTTCTTGGCGTTTGCGGTTCGCAGGAAATGCCGTAAAACCTCGAGCTTAAGGTCTCTATTGAGCTTTTCTTGACGCCAAGCGAGCAAAGTCTATACACCTTAATTTGATAAAAGCATGAACTTTGCTGCTACATGGCAAATGGAGGAACCTTTTTTACCCTAAGCGATGAATTGGTGCTATTTCTTTGTTAGTAAAAGATAGGTAAAAAATGGCAAGCAGTTGACGTGACCATATGTAATTTTTTTAGTTATTGTAGCATAGTATATAGCCTCACTTTCGAGTCTTCAAGACGTGCACACAGAACTAGTCTGTGAAGTTGACAAGTTTTTTTCTAAAAATTTGTGATTTTCTCTGTTCGTCGCAAGCAAGCACGTTAGTTTTTGAACAAGAAACTCTTAAAGGAAAAGGCCTGTCTACTGGAGCAAATTAAAGCAAAAACCAAAATTGTTAGAGACAAATTATTCCCGTAGGTGGGGCTTTGTTCGACCAAAAGAAAATGCATAAATCACATTGAACACGCTTCTCTTCGTCCACTTTTTTTTAAGTACCACTTAACAAAAAATAACAGTTATCGAATCAACAATCAAAGGGATTTAATTATAAAAATTAACGTTAAAAATGAAAGACGTTTCAACCGTCCGAGGTTCCTTTTAAGTTCAAGATAAGAATTAAAAATTAAGCATGTAAACGTTGTTCATTTTTAAAGTTAATTTTTATAGTTAAATCCCGAATCTAGCCTGATTTTGCTCTTAAATCCCTAATCCCGAGCTTCAAATAAGGGAAATTCCGGATCCCGAAAAACCTGTTGGGGACCCTCCTGGTGGTGTGCTCTATCTTTCATGGCAGGGGGGGGGTTGCATAGTTTACTTTTTATGTGTGGAGTCATACGTTGAGTAAAAGTGCCGTTACCGTTTGGGGAAAACACAGTAACTGCATCTTGTGACAGGGTAGGGATCTGAGTGTTGCAGTTGTCGACGGAGCAGCATTCAATCTTACACTGTAACAGGATTCGACCTCTGTTCCTTAAATAGCCTCCAAGAAAAAAGCACGCTGCGGTCTTATCTGTAACGAAAATTATATTTAGCACCAAGTTAGCAAGTATTTTCTTCATCAAGAATAAAGCAATGTACAAGACTCGTTTAAACGTGGACGTGCCAAACATCAACAGAAAATTTAACGAAATATTATAAATTTAAAGGAGCTGTGTCACGAAATTAATCAAAATTTAAACAGTGATACCACCACCAAACTGAGTGAAACATAGAAATAGAGCGATTTTCGTACGACCTTGAAATGAAAACGGCCGTCGATAAAACCCGGAACATGGAACATTCCGGAACATGCCGGAACATTCCGGAACATTCCGTAACATTCCGGAACATCCCGGAACATGAAAAAATTTTTAAAATTTTAAAAAAATAATAGCAAGAAATAAATAAGACAATAAATATACTTTATATATAACCAAAATAAACATAAACACATAAAATGAAAACGAAAAATAAATAAAGAAAATGAATCTAGTATCTTCTCCGAGTATAAGGAAACAATATTTTGTGGGAATCACGAGAGGATGAAGCTTTATCCTCTCTTGGTCGGAATTGATTTGCTGGGCGAGTGAGGGCAGTTCCATGCAAATGATGGTCATGATTGACGGTTCGCCTCTTTAAAATATAGTAGATTGGGTCGCAAAGACGGGAATTTTTAAGCTTTCCTCACAAACTGCACGAATTACCTGGCAGTCATCGTCCGAACTGCTGTCTGAATCCATGTTTGCTTTCCATGTTGTTATGAAGCAAGAGTGTAGCGTGATTGTGAGATGGCGTGATTTTATTATCCCTTCGATTTTGTTATTAATAGTTTCACTCGTCTGTCAGAGCGACAGAGAACTTGATGACAGATCGCATTAAAATCAAAAGCTTATAGATTCAAGAAAGTCACGATTTTGTGTAGTGTGTGAGCGAGCCGTTGTACTGTGGGGATCGAAGCTGTGAAATAAACCCTGTTTGCTTTAAAACTGTGATATCGTGAAGAACGGCCCTTCGGCATTCACGACACATGTGATCCTGAGCTGAGTTGGCGGGAAAGTGTTGGAGCCTTCACTCATATGCTCTTTCTTTCTTTAGTTTTATTTTTTGGGCTCTTTAGTTATGTCTATATTTATTGTCTTATTTATTTCTTGCTATTATTTTTTTAAAATTTTAAAAATTTTTTCATGTTCTGGGATGTTCCGGAATGTTCCGGCACGTTCCGGAATGTTCCACGGCCAATGAAAACGCGCGAACAAAACAGAAACAACAAACAGAAATAAAGCGATTTGATTGGTTTATCGAACGAATACAAACGCGTTTGGCTTTTGGTTGGTTAAGCGAACGCTCAGGTGAAAAAACTTCATGCCCGAGAACGCTACCACTGGTTTCCCCGCCAAATGAAACGAGCGTTGAAATTCCATACTGATGACGCGTCACTAGACAGATCTAGGTAGTTCTTCTGATTGGTTGAATGAAATTTCCCACGCGGCACGCTGATCTAAGTTAAGATGACATAATTTCTACCTATATACATGACTAGTACATTTCATTGTGAGTATTGTCAATGTTTTACCTTCAAAAGATGCGATAAATTCAACTAAAATGTGCTAGCAATGGAGGTACGTATAGTGCGGATTATTTTGGAAAAATTAGCATAACGTCAAAACAGTGAATGTGGACGCAGATTTTTGACAAGTTCGTAGGATAGGTTTGTCTCGAAATTTTAAGATGTTGCAGTGAATCAATCTCAATGAAAGTTTTAGACCTTCAGTTATATACATTATGAAGATTATGTGAAGGGTCGCTTCAGAGATATAAAAAAAAGCGCTAAAAGTCCAAATTTTGAATGAAGTTGCACTTAAACAGGTAGTGAGAATACGGGTTAGTTTTCAAGATCGCTTGAAGATCGCATGAACGAAAATACAGCAAAATTTCCTTGCGTCAAAATATGATATTAAGCAGCATTCTGACACTACTTAAGAATATTAAAATTTGAGTCATTTATAACGTTTTTATTGAATAGTCTGTCACGCATTTCCCCACGTTCTGATTAAATAATCGATTACGTTTGAAATATATTTTCGTTTTAGTCGAATTCAAACATACAGAACTTTTTACTTCTTACTGAGATTGTTTGCTAAACACCAAAGTTTAAGTTCCTAGTGTTTGATTTTCAGTAGCTGATCTAGATCACACAAAATTCGGCTTTTATCAATTTCAAAGTTTTTTGTTTCTTGTTGTCATAGTAATATCGGTTTACTTAAAACTACATTTCACAATTTTCAATCCATAGCCAATTACTGGTGAAAATTTTTTTAGCGATCGGACAAGGAAGAAGCCACTTTTAAGGCGATTGGTTTGGTCTCTGAAAAACTGTATCGAAACGCCTTAAAACCAACCTACCTGCGCAATCGAAGCATCCTCCGACTATTTCAACCCGGGTATCGTTTGGTCCGAATGAATTTACATACTTTATGGCAGCGGTACCACAGTGAGTTGTACCAAGGGATTCTCCATCTGTTGCACAAACTTGGTTTCTTGGAGAAGTGGTGCATTGGGCTGCATCACTGGACTGACAAGAGTTGCACTGGGTTGGACCAGCCACTGTTAAGACAAAAATTCAAAGGTTGAGTTGAAAATATACGATGTTGAGTTTGAAATTTGACGCGGTTACTGGCGAAATGCGGCGAATGAGTATCGAATGAAAAATTGGCATCTCAGTCAAATGTAGAATACTGGTTCAGGCATCAAAACTAATAAAAAGAAGCAGTGTATAAAAATTTGTTTGTCGAGTTGAATATTGCATGGTTTGACTGTGTAATTTGACAAAGCGAGTGGAAAATGTACAGCTAGCAAGGTCAATGTTCAAAGGCTAAAAGACAAGTGTAAAAACGTTTTCCAATGACGTGAACTCTAAACAGGAAGAGTGTAAAATATTGAATTCAGCCATAAAATTCAAGTGTTGAAGTTGAAAAAAAAAATAAATACATGAACAATTTGAAATACAAACCATGAATTTTGGCGGGGATCGTACGCTATACACCTGAGGGGATGAGCATAAGTGTGCTCAATGATTACCTGCACGTTTTCGTTTGCTTAAAGGAGCTGTCACACGAAATTCAGCCAAATTAGGAAATTACAAAATGCCTGTTAAATTAAGAAAAACATAAAAATAACTGCTTAAAACTTTAAAGGAAGGTTAAAATAACATAACAGAAACAACAGATGCCACGGATGGGCAAAACTGAAGAAGATTGAAACGGATTGAAATTAGGGTTTTTGAAAACTGTCCAGCCTAACAGTTTTTCAAAGTTGATCCCTGCTACTTGCAACTTCAAAAATAATGCTCAGGAGACATATTTGTTTGTCTCGGATCTCTGATTTTGTTATTTACATGTAATTTCTTTACTTACTTTAAGTTTCATAGCAATTGAGGGCGAGTAATTGACAAAATTAAACAAAATGAACTGGACTGCCGTGACACAGCCCCTTTAAGCTGGTAATTTTTAATTTCCGTCGTCAACGTTTTTGTTTCCAAACTTGCTAGTAGCGTTACCTCGCAAAACAATTCTTGATTTGCGAGAATTTCGTTGAAAAACCGACGATTTGATGGAAAACACGCGACGAAAACGACGTCCCGGCGCAGCGCAGGTACCCATAAAGAGGCTCAAACGAGATGCAAAGTCAATTGATAGCAAGCTTTTCAATCTCTGCGATCAGCATTACGTTGTAGTTTACATTCCTTATTCTTGCACGAGAGATTTTGGACTCACCTTTTTCAGTGCAATTTTTTTTTTAATTTGTTCCTCAGGAGTCAACATTAAAATGACACAACTAAGTCACTCACCACTCGTGTCTACAGCAGTGAGAAAAACGAGCACGGGAAACAACCTCATATTTCGAACAGTCCCTTGTAAGATGCGTTTCCTCTTTGACGGAAAATAGAGACCTCTTCCCAGGGTGGATATTAAAACAGCGAAATATGTGTGTTGAAAGTAATATTACTTACTCTAACCGGCTATGATTGGTTCAAAGTTGACAGTACCTTTAATATTAATTTCGAATCGGAACCCAACAGGAAGTCAAATGCCGAATTGAAAATGCAACGTCATGTTTTATATAGTTCAGTGTCCAATTGTCCTTATTAATTACCCTTGTTTTTGGGAAGAGTGCCCTCAAAAATTTGAAATGAATAAAACGTTTCAAGTTTATTCTTCTCTCTTCTTCGAATTGATAGATAGTTGTACTAACTCATAAGTGTTGTTAATTCGAGTCTTACGTTCTAGTTAAAGCATTTCACAAACAAACGTAACAAAACAAAACAATCGTGCAAAATATAAGTACGCGGTACACATTGATTCGCCTGGATGCATAGCCAAAAACATTCCGTAGTTTTACTTTATCACCATCACCAGGCAGGTAACTTGATCACCAGGTAACTAAATAGTCCTATTTATTTCGTCAGTAAAAGAACCACATACACACATAAGGCAATTCTGTCACGATTTCACCGTCCTTTTGTAACATCCTGTCTACAGGCTCTTCTCTAGAACCACCTATAAATATCACAAGATTCGTTTTCTACAACAGAACTGAAATACAAGGACACATACACTAACTCCACGTTTTTCTCGATCCGGGACATGGCAGACTGTTAGGAACAGCTCAGCAGCTCAATAAAGAAAAGCAACATAAGCTGCGAAATGCTTCGATGGAATTGCAAATAAATATAACCAGTGTTTTTTGGAAAATTCTAGTAGGGACCTTACGAGCCGACAATTTGTTTTTTCAGTCAATATAATAAACATTTTTTTCGTTTAAGGTATCTAATATTTAAATGACGCCTCCATGAGCAGTCAAGTGTTAAATAAGTCCGCCTAATGACCGATTAAGTTCCTAGATTCCATCATTCTTTTGCACTTCCAAGGGTGGATAACCTCCGAAAAAATTAAAAACTTTGAAATGATTAAAGAACGAAATGATTCAAAAGACATAAGGAAGTTAAATCTTTAATCAAAAGCGATTTATGTTCAAAAGGAGATATTATTTTCTGCTTTCTACTGGGTGTGGCTCGGGCTTTATTTGACCGCTAAAAGAGAACATACTCCAACCGAGCAACACAGCATTATTTTGATTCTTTCTATATTATATAGACATAAATTTACGCACAAACCTAAGCGATACCTTTACGATTCTCGCGTGGTCGACACGAAGGAAGGTGCTCTCGAATGGAGCTCCTGTTCTAGATCGTTTATATTTCGTGGATATTTCCGTAATGTAAGTTAATAAAATTGCTTGACCATGATAGTAAGCGTTCGGGTTTTTTCGGCGACAGAACTTAATGATGCTTACATTTTTATTGATTTATTTATTTTTACTTTTTTTGTCCCTGTGAGTACCAAAAGAATGCAGTTTACAGTCTTCATAATAAAAATCGATCACTTACCTATCGCGTCTGCGGCAAAGAGCAAGACAAGCAAGGGAAAGAACTTCATTTTTCGAACATTCCCTTGTAAGACGCCTTTAAGTTGCAACTGCAAGATAGAGATCTCTTTCCCAGGGCATGTATTAAAAGCGCAAATACGTTAAACGTCGTACGATTACTTGCTCAAACGTCAAAGGCCGAAAATGCAACATAATATATTGTCCAGTCCAATATTAATCTTTGTGCTGTTATTTTCAGGTAGTGTGCATCTTTAAAAATATGAATTCTTTTTTTCCTTTTTTTGTTGTTGCAACTGTGCTACTAACTTAGAAGTGTAGATCTTGAGAGCCTGAGCTCAGATACAAGCGCACAAATAATCACGACACTCAGTAAACTTAATGCATGAGATGCAATGCAGAGAAAACAAATAATTATGTAATTTTACTCTTTAATTTAGTTCACCGTTCAGGTTCAGTAGTCCTACAGTATATCGCGCGTCTGTCTGTAATTCTGACAAGTTTTCACCGAACTTTTCACATCCTATCTACAGTTCCCAATCTAGAAACGCGATATCACAATGTTTGACTTGTTTTCCTTCACCGCTAAACGCGATAATTTGAAAAAACAAAGACTCATTGACTTCACATTTAGATATCAGTCGTGGCAGACCATAAAAAAGGCTTAAAGAGGGTCTGAATGGGGTTAACCGACAAGCGACAAACGGCAAAGAAATATAACTGACCAGGGGCGGATCCAGGATCTTTTTTAGGAGGGGGTGCACTCGTCTCTTGCTCTACTTCAACACCAATAAACCACATAGTTTTTTTTTTCTTTGCAGGATACTAGTTGTATTAGAAAACCGCAGGTCATCTCAGGGAGGGGTGGGCACCCCCTGCACCCTCCCCCTGGATCCGCCCCTGCTGACTACCGACAGAAATATTAACCGACAACCGACATGGTCCAACATAGCCTCCCCGCAGACGTCCTTTGGGGTTCGTTTGTCACGCATTCATTTCTTCCCCATGGACGTCTGCTAAACACAGCCGACATTTACGTTCTGGATTGTTTGAATAAGCCAATAAGCGGTTAGTTATGGTGTCACGATCAGCCAATCAAGCGCTGTGATACAAGTGAAACGGCACCTACGAATCATTTCTCGCTTTTTTAGAGGAATATTTATTCCACGGCTAAGCATGGATGAGACTCCGAAGAAAGTTATAAGAAGCGAATGTTTTTGTTTTCTTTGCAGCTGTAATTTAGGAAAGGACCAAGTTCGTGTGTTTAGAAAAAGCGCAGCCGACATCGCAAGGCTCATCAAGTGTGCTCTGGACGTTGATGTGTCTTTGTATTCTCAAGTGAATTATTTATTTCCACCGCCATCTTCTCAGGGGCACCAAACGGCAGTTTTCGGGAAAACATCTGTTTGGAAGACGATTTGAGATCTAGAATTTTCGGAACATTTGTTGTAAAATTTCTTGCTTGCCTGCCTCTCCTAGGATTTTCGAACATCTACAAAATGGTATAATTACCCATTTTTAACGGATTTTGACCCTAAAAAAGGCCACCTAGAATTTTCGGGAGCCTTTTTCTGGCTGAAATTTTCGAGAAGGTGAGTTTTCATCCCTATGATTTTCGGATCACTAGACTTTCAGCTAGAAAATCCGAACAGATGAAAAGTTTTTAGGGGATAAAAATATGCCTATATCTATCGTTTAAATACTAAAATACGTTCAACAATGCTATGTTAAGTGGTTTTGAACTATATCCTCGTTGGGTGCCCCTGTCTTCTACCTGAGACGACTCAAACGTTATGAAAAAATCACAGAAACGATGCAATAAAGCTGCAGTCAGCTGTATAGTTTTTTCGGAAGTTGTTACTTGTTCTGCAAAAAAGCACGTCTTCCCGTTGCGTTTATTTATTCACAAGCTAAGTAAACATGACCATGGTGCCGCCGAAGTCCAAACTTCAAGCTAGAACGACAAATTAATCTACATGTCAACAAACTTTAATCTCGCTCCTTCAAAGAAAGAAAGAATGCTTATAATCTATAAATCATTGAACCTTTCATTGTTCACTGTATTTTATTTCTCGATAAAATATTTAATCATGCTCGGGAAAGTCGCCGACCAAGGATACTAACTGTACAAGTCACTCGCTAACATTTCCTCCACCGATCGATCTTCAACCAAGCTTCTGGGCTTCCGTAAACAACAGAGAAAGTCCCTCTTTCGACAACCCTCATATTCTCTTTGCTAATATCACTGAGCGTTACAGCAGGAATACCAATATTTTCCAGCTTTGTAGATTGATCTTTCAAGATTTACCAGGAGAGAAACGCACTGTGTCGCAAACAAGCAGCAAAGCTTGATAGACAAGGGATTTGCCAAATCCCGCCGGCAAATTTATGAACTCATCGGTCTTCGCTATGAAATTTGCAGGATAGCTTCTCTCTGGTACTTGTACATGTTGAACTCTGTATTTAATTACAAATTTCTCGCACACTCGATAAAAAGCCCCACTGTTCGTGCGAATCTTAAGAAGCGGCTCGAGTTACGTTTTACAAAAATCCGTAAACGGCCTGTGATTGGTGAACGTAAATGTCGGCTGTGTTTAGCAGGAGTGTAGCTAAATGTCGTGGGTCGTGGGTAGTGGGTAGATGTCGTGGGTCGTGGGTGTGGGTAAATGTCGTGGGTAAAAAAAGTATAGAAAAAAATGATAAAGTAAAGTAATTGAAAAAAATAAATAGAAAAAAGTTGTAAAATATTTATAAAACGAAGATCCCCAACTCCTTGATTGCCCTTTTCGTCACGGCTTCTTCTTCGTCCTCTTCCTGATATTTCCTTTGCCACGTGGGACTTGGATCCCCTTTCACACCATCACTGTACTGAAAAGACATTATATGTTGCCGATGAAGATTTATGCATACCTGAGCAATCGCGGCGAAAATAAACGAAACAGGCGTAAATTTAACGTGCAATTTGCAGAAAGTAAGGGACTGCTCTGACTCGCTGAATGGAAGTAGCTGCTCACTATTAATCTTTATTCGATCTACAATTCTAATGATCAGCGGAGATTTTTTAACACCATGGAATGCAATCACCGTGGGAAAGGGGAGGGGAAAGGGACAATTTTGAGGTATTTCATGTTTCTTGATGGAAGTCTTTCTTAAAGAAGTCTTAGGCTAGCTTTACAAAGGAACCACCTTCATGCTCAACCTTTCAAGTTAAGGCTGAGACTGCATATATGTAAATTTTATTGCCGTAAGGAAATATAATTTTCTCGATTCTTTTTTGTTCTCTACAAAATCATTGCTGTAACGTAACGATTCTGAATATCATCCCTTAAACTGAAAGGACGATTCAGCCACGAATGTTGACTTCTTTGAGAAAAAGCAATTCAGTCTCCGGTTATTTTATAGCCTGTTTTAGGTTTACATAGTGTACAAAGTTTCTTTTATGTTTCACCTAAATGCCTTTTTGGTGTCCGTTTCGTCTAAAGGATCCGCTTATTTGCTTTGCTGACCAAGGGGAGGGAATAGGACTGGTATGTACGCGGAGATTTTCATTTCATGAAGTTTACACCTTTTTGCTTTTTAATTTTTTTGGAAAAGTTTTTTCTTTACCCACGACATTTACCCACACCCACACCCAGGACCCACGACCCACGACCTCTACCCACTACCCACGACCCACGACATTTAGCTACACTCCTGAAAAACTTCTCTTCTCTTAAATTAGCTTTTAATATCTCTTAGATATTAAATATATTTGTATACTTTTAATATTTGTATAGTTTTTAGGTTATTTATTGTTGTAATGCGCTTTTGATCACCTAGCATGTTAAAAAGCGCACTATAAATGAATAAATTATTATTATTATTGTTATTGAATGTCTTAAAGAAACTTTGGCCGTCTCGAAAGTTTTCGGCGGCTTTTTCTTCTCCTTGGAAACTGCATGTTGGCCACTCTGATGGGTCCGGTCGAAAGTTCGAGGTCAGGGAGTGACCATACTTTCAAAAGAAAGTTCAAGTGAGCATTTTGTCTTCGTACCGAGATTTTCAGGAGACCTTTAATAGGGTTAGATACATTATGCAAGCATAATTTTGGACATTATGCTATAGTCGGAGCATCGAGCATAATACCGGCATAATGGCCATATTTTCAGCAGAAAGAGAATGATTATGAAGAAAATATATATTTCCTTAACTGTGCTGAGAAATTTTTACTTCCAAATGCTTTTAGTGAGGATTAACATATTCAAAGAGGCTTGATTAATACTTTCAATGTCTTGTTGCACCGTTGCATCATTTCGTTAGGCTGCTAAGACTGGCCAATTGTCTATCCATAATTGCTGCCAGTTCGAAATTTGTAACTGATGCAATAAAATGTTGTATTAATGTGTGTGGCAATACAGCCAAGATCAGTTGAGGCAAGAGCCATAATAGGACGGTGTCCTGTGATAGCTCTTGGTTGAGGATAATGCTTCTTTTCAAGCATAATTTTAGGCAAAATGCTGTTGTTTTGAGGGTGTCGTTCAAAAGTATAATGCTCAAATTTTAGAGCATAATGTATCTAACCCTATTTTTTTTTTAAACAATAATCCCAGTATCTTGCTTTGGTAAGAAAATCTGAAAAACGCCTCGTCAGAAAATCGCAAGTTAGTAGGAATACTCCGAATATATCAGATGAATGGAACGGTTATGCAGAAATTTGTAGCGTATATAATAATTTGCTTCAGTTTGAACATTCATTTTACAGAAAAATGTAGTTGGGTTCCCCCGTTTAATTAGTCTAATGGGGAGGAGCTTTGGGTGACGATGCGGAGGAGACTACCGTTTAATAGACCGCCCTATTCACGGTACTCGCCATCTTTACACGCACTTTCTGAGTGATAAAATTTACCAATACGAATAATCGCGGTGGAGTTTGTTTATTCTACAAAACAAGACGACGATTTTACGTACAGTTCGAGTTTCGACAAGTTTTATGCCATTGTCGCTTGCTGTGAGGACAACTACAGTCGTTATTCCACCCCTAATTTGCCATTACTGCCTTAAAGATAAAAAGTTCTTCGGTCATTTTCTGTCTAGAATAAACAAACTTGACCAAGATTTCTTGCATTGACAGATTTACTTGTTTGCCCCGTGGGAAACCACGTGACATCGCTTCTATCCCATCAGTCCTTGAGCGCGAACACCAAAGATAGCGGGTATCAAATGAATAAGGTTTATTAATGTAGCTTTCAATTTTATACCTTTTGCACTAACTAGTTCATCAAAGGTGAAGGATCTTTTTAGCTTGGCTTGTTTTTTTTTTTTTTTTAACCCATTTCAGAACCTCAAGAACGTTGAACTTGCTACGTTTTTAGCAGTTGAAAGCAATGTATGACCTGTAGTGTTCTCATTTGTTTTTGAGTGTCAAGGTTGTTTTCAGAGTGATAGAGAGATTTAGAACCAAATTTACGGTAAACGCCACACGTCAAGTCGTACCAGGTGACCAGTTTTTCCATCGCCCTTCATTCAGTGTTCATGATATCTTCCCAGAAATCAATCAGTTTTTTCGTGTCAATTTCATCCATAAGAAATATTTTGGACAGATCAGTATTATCTGCTCATTTCCTATTTTAAGAAAATTTGTAACTTGAATCTGGCGTTTGCCGTTTGTCTTTAAGTTAACGTGATTCTAGATCTCTCTAATGATGGCAAATAATTCCTGATAATAAGCACCAAACAAGTAAACTTCTCAATTAGTTTTTTATCAATGATTATTTAACGACATAACTTAGGAGAGTTACGGAGTATTTATCTAAAAGAGTTAAAAATTTATTTGGCAACGGTTCAAAAAGCTGCATTCCAAAAAAATCAAATCTTTTGTGAAACACCATTGGCTTAAAGTCTCCACAGCTGTCTATTGAATGCCGTATTTATTCCGATATATTTCATATTCCGGCCAGCATGAAGGTGAACGCTAGGTTATGATAGCTATTTGTTTTTTGTTAACAGTGCGAGTTCACTTGGAGATATTCCTGTTCATTTTTTTCCTGGTAAACTCAGGAATGTGCTTTCCAGTGAAGTTACACAATCACCTAGAAGGCCTCCAGCAATGCTAATTTTTAATCTTCGTAGTTATCTATTTAATTCATGAACTTTTTAAAAGACTTTTAGGGTGTTATACAGATCATAGAATTTTTGATGCCTGAGATGTTGTCACGTTTTCAATATATGCGTTAATTTAGTTGTTATAAAGAGTTAGATGCATGGTCCAGAAAATTTGCTTCCGATATATTAGTATGTCAAGTTATAAGAAACACACCGGAAAAAAAACAACAGTGAACGGTTTGAACCCAGGAATCATATCATAAATAAGTGGAATATGATCTTTTGAGTGAGTCTTGTCCCGTTGTTGACAGCAGGGAACTTGAAAATCGCGACAAAGTTCACGACGACGATGTCTGTTGACTGGGAAAGGACTGGTAAGAGAACGTCAGTTTCGGCGGGAAAAAGGAAACTTAAGGTGACTCAACACAGTTATTTTTTGAGGGTACCATCCTACTTTGACGCTCTCTGGTATCCCCACCATTACTTTGATCGTAAGTCTAACATATAGCTTCTCAAATGCATTAATAATTCATTAAGAAAATACAAAGGAAATTAATGTTTAATGAGTGTTTGGAAATCGGATGAAACAGTGCTTAGTATTTGCATCCTTAATTTCTCCTTCAAAAATGATTTTGTTTGAGAAGAAATATCAAACATTCGACACAGTGTTTCATCACCAGATGAAACACCTCGAAGTTCGTCAAAAATACTCCGCTGCGCGTCGTATTTTCAACTCTCTTCTCGGTGTTTCATCTGGTGATGAAACACTGCATCTCATGTTTGATATATTACATGAATAACCTGCCCGCCTGCCTTGATAGTGCCTTGTGTTGAACAGAGTTTTACCAAAATCGCAAAGACCCAATGAGAGAAATTCAGCGGTTTCCAAATTTAGATCATAATTTATGCGAAAATGATAAGCAAACTTTACACGATTATATCTAGTAAACTATGAGATTTACTCCTTTATTTTGGGGATCGTTATTACAGATGGCCTGGGTCCTTGCAAGTCAGCAAAAAGCTTTAGGGTCTGAAATGCGCACGATTTCGAGCAATGCAAACACATAGAAATTATAGTTTTAGCTATTTGTTGACGTTTGTCAGTGTTTAAGAGTCCCTCTCACGAAAAAAGCATTTTCTTAAAAATTCGTAGTTTTTTCCTTCAAATTTTTTCAGGGCTACAATCAGATTAACTAACTGGACCAGTTAGTTTCGTCTATTTTTCTTTTCCAGTTGAAGCTGGACAGCTTACCTGGTCACTATTTTTTCATTGATTTTGATTTGTTATCATGTGCTATGTAGTTAACTTTCATTGGCTAATGGCATTTGCTACTTGATTTTCATCGGTTCTTTAACTTTCCGATTGACCTGTCTAATAGCTTCTAATTTCAAGCTCCTAGTAATCGGACATGTCAAACTGGACAGTTTTGGAGTTACAATAGGAAATGGCATTTCCCCACGGGGTCGCACATTTTCGGATTTTGGGGGTAAGCTTTCTGTAGACAATTCGGTGCTTCGCTTAACATCGTAAGGGAAGGATTGTGCCGGAGAAAGCTCAAATTCGTTATTTCAAGTACAATTAATATACAGTCGAACTTATCCAAAACACTAAAATTTTCCCAGTCAAAGCCTTATAATTGGAACGACTGACTCTCGTAAGCGACCGCTACCACTTTTAAGGATGACAGTTTTAGAATTTTCTATTGCTTTCAGTTGACCTCTTCTAAGTGACCACTTTATACAATGGTCTGATCTTTGTGTTCGCTGTATGTACTACGCTACCCTTTACGAGAAGAACTTTTAGAAACAACATGGATTTACATATATTGTAACCTAAAAGTTTCATGCAGAACCGCTCTCTACAGAAGGTCGGGTGTGTCCGGACTCCTCCTCGTAAAAGATCTGCTGCAGTTCGACTCTTTCCCGTAAGCCACCACTACCTCTTCACATTTTATGTGGTCGCTTTAGGGAGTTTCGACGGTATTTCTAACGTCTAGTGTTTATTAATCCGGAGGGAAAATGGAAGTAAATTAAGTAACAGGCTGGTTCTCATTTAAGTAGTTTACAACCCAAAAAACTGTCAGAAAACACCGTGGCGACTGTTTGCAATACTGTAGTGTGTTCACCAGCTTTTCTTTTTCTCATATTTAAAGTGGCTCTGGCCTCTTGACAGACATCTCGGGCTTAAATTTTGAGAAAAAGTACAAGTACGATCATGGTGTTTATAACGGGTTATAACATTGCTATAGCAACTTAGAGGCAAGTAGTGTCTTCGTGAAATAATATACACTTAATGTCAGATCCCAAGGGAAACAGTTAGTTTTGTTTTCTCGAGAGTCCTGATGTTTCCCGAGATGAAGTCGAGGGAAACATCAGGACTCGAGGGAAAACAAAACTAACTGGTTTCCCGAGGGATCTGACATTAAGTGTTTTGTTATATTTCTAGAACTTTCACTTCAACAGCAACAAAAGAATAACCGGAGCGAACGAAAACGAACCAAAACAGTCGACTCGGTACTTATAACAACACAAATTTAATTCTCAAAACCACTGAATGAATGATTTACAAACAAAAGTACTTTCCGTATATCATCTGCATCTTTTTCCTCCACTAGCTGCTGTTTTTCTTCTGGGAACTTCTGGGATAACTTTAAAAATCGTTGCTTTTTAGCTTGAGGCTTCGTGAATGTGTTGTTGTGTTCATTCACGAAAAAGAAAACCGGCAGGACCTGGCGGTGTTTTTCCCGCCTTCTGTCACGCCACTTTCCACCATGCTTTGATCACGTGCTGCAATGTATCCCGAGCGGGATACATTGTTTAATGTATTACGATCGGGATACATTTGATTTTAGTCAAGGCCACGTGACCAAGAATCAACCAATGGCAGTCCCTGTTTAGTTGAGTGAAATTCTAGGAATATAACAACAGGCTTTATTTAATGGACCAATGTACACAAACTACTACTGAATTAGAGAAAGAGTTGGGTAAATACCCAATAGCTCAGTGTTGAAATAGATAGTTTAGATCGAGTTGAGGTCCATTTAAACCCACGCATTGACACGATAGTGACCAAAAACTGAATCTGTTTGAACAGGACCGGAAATGACGACCGGTTTTACGCTGGAGAGTACGACTGAAGCAGAAAGGACTTATAAGTCAGCAGGTTTTTCCGGCGTTGAACAACTTAAGAAGACTACTTTAATAACAAAAATGATTTTAATGATAATAATAACAGTTCTTATTACGTATTTCGCGTGCGCCTCAATGCGTCAACTTAAGGAGACTTTTCGCTTGCATGTGTAAGTGTCTACCACGGTTTGACTTGAGAAAAGATAAAAAGAGTTGTGGATGAAAAGAGCCACGCTCTTGAGTTAAGGTGCCCTTCTTTTCTAGCAGCTGAGCTTGGTGATGGACCACCAGCGTCGGAACTTTGTGATGGACCGCCAGCCTCAGAACCTTTTGTAGTTGGAAATGGACCGCCAGCAACTGAACTTTGTGATGGTGATGGACTACTCTCTGAAAAAAATTATATACCACATGAAAAAACCTCATAACCTTGGCCTATTTCATAATCAAATTTGTTCTGTAATAGGTAACTTTCACTACAGATAATTAACAATTATTGGACGAGGTTGAGCAAAATAACGTGATTTGTCAGTGTCGAGCAGTAGCAAATAATTGATCTCCGAGACACCGACAAATCACGATATTTTGCGAAAACTGAGTTCAATAATTTTTTTATCATTCGATCACCGAGTTTGTTTTTTAAGGAATATCTTCGGGAAGCGAAGCGATATGCCATTTTCAAGCCGGAGCGATCGGAAGAAGGAGAAAAGCGTGGTTTCATTTACGCATGAGCAGAATAGTATTTTCAGCCAAAAACAGTTCAATGACATTGTGCGTTAGCACACCATTATTTGTAGGCAGTTATTGGCAGGTCACGTGGTGGGCTGTCAGCCAATGTAAAGGAAGAAATATTTGCATCGAATGATAATAGGATGTTTTTTCTTTCTTACTCAATTTTTCACGCGTTAAACAAGAACAGCCCCCCGGTAAGGGGGTACTCAACAAAGTTTATACAGGGAGGCTCCGCCCAGAGTCCAACCCTTTACCCTTGTTATTTTTGACAGAAATGGTACCCCTTCAGTATACCTTCTATTGACAAGTGATATCCCTTTCACACGGATAGTTTATAATTTTGCATCCCTCTGAAGTGCTGTATTTGCAATGTCCTTTAAACACGAATTAATTAAAAAATTAAACGAGAATGTTTTCTGGACTTTTTCACAGCCATTAAAAGCATCTGTCAACCCTTTGGGGTCTTTTTGAAGACCTGAATGACAGATTTCCCTAGCCTTTGATATACCCGAAGCCTAAAAAAAGGTACCCCTTTCGAGCGGAGCCTACCCATATAGGTTATTATAGGGAAACAGGCCCTGATTTTACCCTGGAAATAACCGCATCCAAGGATTAAAAAAGGCAGTCCCGAGACAGAGCTCTAGCTAGTCCTTCGATATATCCTTTAAAATTGTCTTGTTCGAGAAGTTATTTCAAGCACTATAGAAAGAGTGTTTCATTATTCAATATCAAACTCCTCAACCTTCGTCCATAACACTCCGCGACACCAAGGTTTCGTTTTCCTTTCCCGCTGATGGATATGTGGAACAGTAATCTCCTATTTGATATACAACTTAAGGGTGTTTCAGAAAACGTTTCTATTAAATGAAATTTTACATGCAAAATACCTGCTTTTAGGACTGGCATGATGACTTTGTTGCAGTCATCACCCGTGCAACATATGACTGCGCACTCCAGCTGGGTCAGTCTCCGACGATCTCCCTTGAAAAAACCACCCACAGCAGCACAAGCCGCATTCTTATCTGTAATTAGCAATTCAAATAATCCTTTCAAATCTGTTGAATCACCGTTTTTATATGTAAACAGAAGCCCTATCCGGTATTGACGTCATTTTCCACATATCGCAAACGTCTTCCAAATGTGGTCAACGCTAGCTGGTTATAAAGAAATATCCTTGGGATTTTAGCCAAACAGACAAAGAGAAATATTTTGAATATATAATAATGTCAATTATTGAGAAGCTGCATCTCATGCTAAACCTTCATTGTTAAAGATTTTACGGTATTTTAGGAACGGCGCACTCCATCGAATTATAGCCGGTACACACCCATTCTGGGCAAAACGTTTTGCGACGCGGACGAGCTCCCTGCAGCAGTTTTGCTTTTCAGGTTACATGTAGCCCGCCGTTATTAAAAGCAGTCAATGGAAGTAATATATGGTCTCATGTATGGTCTCGATAAAATCCAGATTTAAATAATTTTTAGTTTGTTTTCCAATCTTGGAATATTTTCACAACAGGCATTCCATTTTTCATTCAAATTTATTATTTGGTATATTTACTTATTTATCCTACCAGCACAATCAATGCATCCTCGAAAAGAGCCATCTACGATATTTCCATTGCCGTCCTGATATTTCCCGACCACGGAGCCACAATGAGTGGTACCGAGCGAAGATAGACCTGTAGCGCAAGACTGGGACCGCAGATGCTCGGGCCTCGAGCAATTGGTGAATTGATTATTTCCCACACATTCATAGCACTGTTTTGGTCCAGACGCTAAGTCGAAACGAAAAGAAAAGGCCATAATTAAATTAATTCTATAAAATCACTTCATAAAAACGGAGAAGGGACCGAGCGAAAGGTAGAAGCCCCGCTGCCAACGGGGGTTACTTGGGTCAATTTTTGCTGGGTATGTACCGCTGGCCTCTCAGAACCCCTACCCCATTGTAGTCTATTCTTTGGCCAATTATATACCCCATATTTGACAGATTTGGGCAGATGTCATTTTCGCGATCCCGACTTAGTCACTAGTTCATCCTAAAATGAATTGACACATTTGTTAAGCTGAATTTATTAAACAGTACTAAAACTACCTCTTTACCTGATGGTGCGAATACCGTGATTGCATTAGCTGATGGCGCCCCGGTCGGTATTTGTGTGTTGCAGTTGTTCCCAGTGCAGCAGTTGATCTCACAGTCCAGCAAAGTCCATGACCTTGCCCTTTTCAAATAACCCCCAAGAGCAAAACAAGCCGCTTTTTTGTCTACAGCAAAAATTAAAAAATGTCTCACTCAGGTGTTCTTCCTTTGTTAGTGTGATATCTGAATATGGACCCTGGGGAATGAATTTTTGTTTGACTCCTGTCGTTTATAAGATCACTTTTCGTATTTTGTCGCGTATTTTAATAATTTTACGTGACTCAGTAAGGAAAGAGATCCAGAGTTTACGGTGACCTTTACTGCAGCAGTCTGTAAAGGTTGTTTTTGAACTCGCGAACTATAGTTTCCCTAGGTCACTGTCTAAAGATAAATTTTACTCAGCTAGTGAATTAAAAATGACTCACTGAAACAGAAGAGTAGTTAAGGCAGTGTGCAAAAGACTATAGACTGGCTAGTGGCATCAGTTTTTCTTCAGGCTTAATTTCGGTGTCACTTATTCTTTTCAGTGTGTTTTAGCCCTCCTTTATCAAGTGTGGAGTCAGTGCTTTCAATTAAATATATACATTTTTGATAGAGTAACAGGATACTGCACAAAAAGCGGTTTTTTCAGGAAAAAAAATTGATTCAACAGACCTCTTTCGATACATTGAAATTCAACATGATAACGACTCTTATAGGACACAAACAAACAAAATCAATGAACATTGGTTTATTGATTTTCTTTGTTTGTGTCTTCCAAGACTCTCTATCATGCTGATTTTTAATATTTCGAAAGTGAACCCGTGATTAACAGTCAAAACGTTGCCGAATATATAGCTGCTCATAGAAAAGTCTGACCTATCAAAATGAAGTCGAAAGTAGCTATTACTGACTTACTAGCGCAGTCAAAGCATCCTCGATATGCCAAATCCTTAACATTTCCGGAGCCGTCCAGGTATCTACCTACTACAGAACCACAATGAGTTGTTCCAAGCGAACCAAACGCTGGATTTAGCGAACAAGCTTGGTGAGGATCCTTGTCGGAGCAGATACCCTCGCAATGAGTACATGTCGGTAGATCTGCAGCTGTCAAGACAGAATAGAGGGTCTCAATTAATGGGACAGAGGCATTTACGGCTAGTTTTTCTACAGGTTATGGTCATTTACCCTCCATTACCAAGAGGGAATAATCGGACAGATGGGGAATATTAGGGCGCTGGCCGGGATATGTGAATTTCACTACAGTTACTTTTAGAGGTTGTAATTAAACAGAAGTCTAATTCCTGAGACGTCCACACATTTTAATCGATTGTTTGAAACGTTATTAAGTCCACGTGCGACTGCCTCAAAGCAAACATTGAAGTATACGGTAAATGCGACTGTTAAATTCTCTCTCGATTTCACTGAAAGTTTGCCGAACTCTCCGGAAACAAACTTTCAATTAATTAATTAAAATTGGTCTTAAAATAACTTTGGTGAAATTCAAATATCCCAAGCGGCTAGACAGGGCGTTTCCCTCTCTGCCCATTATTCTCTCTTGCCCTAACAGGCATCTGAAGAAAAGAAAATTGTTTAAAAAAAAGTTCAAAAGTTTCCATCGGTCTCTAGGCTTCTAAGTACCTTTCCCAAATGGAAAAAAAGGCTGATTGAAGCAAAGTACAATACAAGGCGCATTAAGTCCATACTATCTTTCAATAGATAAATATGAAAAAAGGCATTAAATTTCGCGATTCAAGCGTTCTCAGTTACATTTTGTTTCTCAAAAAGTCTGAACTTTTTACATTTTCTAGATTAGCTGGAACAAGCAAAGCGATTCAGATGGAGATTATAAGTACATACTAGATTGTATACTCCGTGTGAAATCTTTACAAATTAACGTTACTTCACAACAGAAGATACAAAATGGAAATCACCAGAAAAATCATTCGATAATTTGTGAATTTCTCGATAGATATCATTGTGTTGATATTACACGCACATCACTTTTTGTTCTGTAAATTCGATTTCTTATATGGGTATTGAATTTTGCGTGTTTTAACACTGGTCTTTGATTCTGCGATTTATTTGCAATCGCCAAAAAACACGAAATAAAAGACCAGCGAAATTAAATCCCACTAAGGTACTTGACGACTTTTGTTTTTCTTTTCATTAGATCCTTTGAAAGACCCATTGTGCGTCAGAAAAGCTAAGGGAGATTTAGGGAAAATGTACCGGCTTGTTTAGCAAACTGTAAGGGGTACCCCACGCAGTAGGGCGTGGCATTAGAAATTAAAAGTCTTTGATTTAAATGATATGAGGGACTTTAAGATCCAACGGCGCGACGGCGACAAGAACGTCGCTTAAAAAGTGAATTTGAGTTTTCTCAGTCTTTATAGCGATTATTCCTACCCACTTACTTTGTCAATTGTAGGCGAGCCCTCCTGAAGCTGAATTTCAAGGGACCATATTCAAGCTCAGAAAGAGAAATAAAATTTCGTCGTTGCTTGTTTACGTCCTCCATAAAACGCGAAATTAGGCATTTTTACGTCGTAGTCGAGCAAAAACGGGAAAGAAATGAACAAAAAGTGTGTTGCACGTGCGAAGTTGTTGTTTTGCTAATTAAACCAGTTGCTTTTTTGACGTTCTTGTTGTCGTCCGCGTCGTTGGATCTTAAACTCCCTATTTTCCTGCGTTATAGACGCTATAAACAAATGGTTTAGACAAGTGCGTGGGCTGGCTGCAACGCAGGCTAAATGATATGGGCAAGAGAGGAGACGGAAGAGGCTTTTGAATTGACACTGTAATGGATAAGGTACATTTTGAGTATCAATTGGAAAGAAAACGATGTTGTTCACAACATTGTTGTGAGACAACGTTAATGTTTTTAGACGATATCATCGCCTATTTTTTTACTTATTAAGGAAATACGAAGAACCGATCGCTTATTGTATGGGCCACTCTCCTACTATGAGCCACATCCGCAGACGATTGAGGCATAAATAAAATTTAAGCTTATCTTTTTTAAAATCCCTGTAAAATTACCCCTGGCCTTAGGCTAAGATTCATGTATTACCAACATCATTACAGTTGCTACTATTGCAACACTGGATATCACATTCCAACATTTTCCATCCCATACGTCCTAAAATATGACCACCTATCATAGCACAGGCCGACTTTTTATCTGAAACGAAATAAAATCAGTGATATTAAAGTGTGGCCATTGGATAGCTAGCTAGGTTTTCACGCACTTATTGAATACAATATACAATAAAGCCGGAAAGATGTTATCCCCTGCTTTTTGCCAGGACCAAACCATCTTCACCTCAGCAAGGACGATTGCACCGTTTGCGAAAAGGGGATCATTTTTTAAACGTAACAACGGATTAAGAACCCGAATAATGATCCTGAAACTGTGGTGTCAGTTGCAATCGGAGGTTATAAACAACAAGGAAAATAGAGGTGTGGAGAGGGGCAAATGCACCCCCCTCCCCCCTAGAAAACGTTTTTCTATTTTTTCAACAATTAATGAATGAGGCTTCGTATCTTGTGTAGAATTATGGAGATCGAGGAGGGCGTTATCCGCCTCGACCTACGGCCTTGACGGATAACACCCTCCTCGATCTCCATAATTCTTCACAAGATACGGAAGCCGAATTCAATAATTGTTTTATTATTCATTCAAAATAATTCCTAGTTTAAAAAACATGGCTAAAACATTACCTCCATCGATGTTAAGTTCATTTTCGATAGTCATGGCACGTTTAGGGTTGTTCAGCTCCGCAAATATTCTCCAAATAGCAGATGTCGCCCTTCGAGTTGTGTTCTTGCTGTTCTTGCCATGTTTTTAGCTTTTATTTTGCCTAGTTCTTACGGTCTTAGAAAAATGAGGTCATCAAGTTAAGGAAAATGAAACCCCCCTCCCTCCTTGGAAGACTTCTATTCAAAGAACACAGACTTTGAAACCAAAGGAAGTTTATTATATAATCGTTGTATCTTTGGCCTCGGTTAAGAGCACATCTATATTCAGGGGACACTATGCCTGGTTCTGAGGGAATTCTATCAAGTATGGACGCTCCTCCGTATGACCTTAGTTTGTATTAGTTGCCTCTATTAAAGAGATCCCTCTACTCAGGGGACACCTCTCCTGGTTTCAAGGGTGTCCCTTAAATGAAGGCTCCAAGCTGTAAAGGTTTTAAACGTTGTTCTCATTTTTTAGTGAAAAACATAAGGTTCTACCAAAAGGAAGAAAGGTGATTCATTACAAGTATCATGCAGTGGAAGTTAAGTGGTCGCTGTTGAAGTAACCACCCTACTTTGATGAGGCCTCCTTCGGTCTACTTCTGTACTGAAATCCAAGATAATAGCCACTATAGCCGGCATTTTAAATACTTACGTCAAATTGTAGAGCTAAAGGCTAATTCTTTTATCTATTCATTTTTTAATCTTATTTTGAGACAAAACAATTTAGGTTTTTCAAAATCCATAATGCTTTAATTCTAAATTACCTGCGCAATTTATGCATCCTCTATAAACCCAATCGCCACCACCACCAATGATAAACGAATATTTTATCTTGGCGTAACCACAATGAGTTGTTCCGAGTGAAGGAAAACCTCCACCACAATCTTGCGCACTTTGACCCAGAATACATTGCCTTTCATCACGCGCGAAACAAGCCTTGCATTGCAATGGTCCAGAGCCTGAAGAAAATGATAGCCAATAAACCAGGATACATACTACTTAACAATCAGAAGGCGAACTCTCGAGATGTTATCCACAGATAGTTCACGAGGAGAAAAATCAAATTCGACAGAAGCCGGTGTTTTTTCGGTTTTGCAAGCTATTGGAACTTTTTCCTTCCATGCTCTTTTAAGCATACACTTCCCTTAACCCTATTCAGACCGGGCTCTCTAGGCTTCGATCCTGAGAACGGAAAGAGCTTTGGCCGAGGCTGTTCTTGTCTCGGTAAGCTTCGACTGAAAGAAAAGGAATATCCGTTATAAACAAGCACTGCTGATGACAGATTTTTTTTCTCCTGTGAGAAAATTGATAGCTTGGTTGCGAGACACTTTGGCTGGTCGTATGCTTGATAGCACCGCGTTTTACTTATAGAGATGGGGCATGTGAATGATACCCAAGCTGCCCTCGTTCGCCTTCTGCTATCCTTTTTTTTAGCAGTCAGAAGACTACCCTCAGTGGCTTTATGGAAATAAATAATAGTGAAAATATAATGATTCATTGGCTATAACATCGACGTCGGCAAAGAGGAAGGAGCTGAATCGAAACATGGCACACAGAAGAAAGACCATATCGTTCTTAACATTTTAATAAATAACTAGCGTTTGAGTAAGTGGAGTCTCTGTGACGAGACCATTTTTTTCATTTTTCATTACCCAACGAAAGAAAATTAAACAAATCAAGAAATAATTTTTGTCTGATTAATATTAAATATTTCTAACACATCACAATTAGAAAGCTTGTCTATTGGGCTTTGATAAGAAAAACAATATCGGAGCAAACGTCACTTCAAAGACCCAAGTAAAGTCTTATATTATTCAAAACGTTTAAAAAAACCGATTAGATTAAGGTCAATCGTACAAAGTAAAATACGTTATTTCTCTATCAGAAACACCACTCTATTTAAACCGTAGAAAGTAAACTCGCCTCCTGAACTCACCAACTTTCTTCACCTTAGATTTTTTTTTTTACCACGTGATGTCACGTGACCATAATTACAGTCGATTCCCGGTAACTCGAACCCTCTATAACTTGAACCTCCCGTTAACTCGAAGCAATTTTCATTTCCCTTCAGATCATTTTCTATATAATTTTACCCTCGATAACTCGAACGTTTTTCTGTTTTACGTATCCTATAGCCTCCCCGCAGACGTACGTATCCTAGCGAGTTATAACTAATCAATCAAATTTTGCAAACAAACCTTTCATCCAGTGAATTTCTACCGAATGGTTCAGTTTATTCATCTCAGCTTTGGATTACAGACATGTACAGAAACATCGCTAGCAAACGATGTTTACTTCTGTTGTCACCTTCTTAATTTAACGGCTTTAGTCATCAGTAAGGCTTTAATTAAAATTGTTTTGAAGAAGTTTAAATTTTAAAGGACTTTGGCCCGAACCTTCCTAAGTGCAGTTTAATTTAACTCCAAATAAAGATTTTGACTGTTGACAAACTGCCGAGTAGTGTAGTGTACGTGGCTTCTTTACGCCCCGGTGAAAACGTCCTGTAATTATTCCTTGTTGAAAAAATTATAACTGCTTCAATATTTATAAAAACTTAGATAATACATATAATTTCATTGTTGTTTAACTTGTAGAAATAATAATAATAACTTAATATCTTTATTTCTATGGCGCTCTTATCCTATGTTCAAGGCGCTTAAAGAAGTTTGATAATATTTGAGTTATGAAGTAAAATATATTTATTACCATTTTGTTGAAACACGGTTACTGCGTCCTTTGTTAGAGTCGAGTTCTGTGTGTTGCATAGACTGCTTTTGCAACACTCAATGTCGCATTCAAGCAATGTTCTGCCTCCAAACGGTCCGTTCCTCAAGTAACCTCCAAGACTAAAGCAAGCGGATTTTTTATCTGAAGTAAAAAAAAGTTGGCTGTAAGAATCGCAATAGTAATTGACGCCTGTACAAAACCATTTCCCTGGCAGAAGACCGGTTGATTAACTGAAAACTTCGTTTTTCTTTTCGGTTGGTTGTTAAAGCATTTAACAAGAAAAATTAAACTGAGGAACGGTTTTCGAAACATCGAAACGTCAAATAACGTTCCTCAGTTTAAGGGCCCATTGATGTATATTTTGAGGCCGTGGGTAGGGAAAAGTCTTCAAGCTAGCGACGCGTGTAATGTATGTGGCGAAATTTAAACAGTGGTCCCTAAGTGACTAGCCTCCCACGCAGACGTTTTTAGGGAAGCTCGTTTTTCATCCCTCCCCACAAACGCTTGCCTGCGTGCAGACGTCTCCTATTTCCTTTGTTGCACGCAGCCCGAAAGTCGGCCATTTTTTTCACACTGGTGGACTTTGGTTGTGATGCACACACACTTGTCAGCGGATACTATTTCATAATTTATGCGAAATCAAATACCCTGCCAGCGGGACGCTGGAACACGATTAGCGACGGCGTTACGCAGACGTCCCTTTTCCGCGTGCAACAAAGGAAATAGGAGACGTCTGCACGCAGGCAACACAAACGCCTGCTCAACGGAAAACAACATTCCTTTCTCATTGTTTTATTTGCGTGGTAAGTGACCAATCAACAATTGTGCAATAAAGTGTTGACAAGCTAAACACGACTGAACGTGACCCTAGAGTTACCGTTTTCCTTCTTTTCTTTCCTTCGCTAAGGTTATGCAGTGCACGGAGTATTCTATATTTTGACTAAATCTTATTTTTGCCGCTCAAAATCTAACATTTATTAGAGGTCAGAAAGATTTCCCAGTGTTTAATGCAGATCGAGTAATTATCAGATTAACTTGCGGTCAAGGTCAACTTTCCAGGATTTGGAAAGTACAATGTGATTGGCTAAGCTTGGGAAAGGAATGTTGTCTTCGGTTGAGCAGGCGTTTGTGGGGAGGGATGAAAAACGAGCTCCCCTAAAAACGCCTGCGTGGGAGGCTACTAAGTGACCGGTTGGTTCAGACTGTGACGTCACTATGGCACGCCCGTTGTCACGTGACCTTATACAGAAAATCGCGTTTTTACTGAATAAAGCACATTTCGGCTCAAAATATTTAGTCTCATTATGATACTTATGTAAATGCGAAAACATTGAAGCATGGAATTTCGTTTCCATCAAAACTTCAGAAGTGAGAATGAAGCGAGTGTTCCACCACCACAAGCTCGGACATAACTTTCCTGTTTCTTAAAAACAAAGTTTTTTTTTTCAGTTGATTTGAAAAAAACGTGACTAATTTTTTTCCGGCTCGTTTTTCCGGCTTTCGTTACACGCAAAAATGCAACGTGGACACGCCATAACCGGCAAAAGTTACGGCGCGTGCGTCACGAAGACTCGAAAGTCTCACTTAAACACGGCCATAACCGACAAAATACTTTTCCTTTATTTTTTTGTCGGTGAAGAGGCTTTAGTAGGTGTATACTAAAATCGCTATTTTTGTTTTCAAATTCTTATTC